GGGGGGGGGGGGGGGGTCCTTTTTGGGTGAGGAGATGGGGAGGTGAGGGGCTGCTGTTGTCCCTGCGGTGGTTGGAGTGGGTCAGCAGCCGCCTCAGCGCGATGGGAAGGGATTTATTTGCCCGTCGGGGGTTTGTAAACAGACCCTGCTGATTCACGATCCCGATCAGGTTTAACCTTTCGGCCGGGGGGGGGAAAAGGAGCTTGAAATAGCCCAGAGCTGGGGTGGGGGGGGGCGCTGCCTTGGCGTGTGCCCAGGAGCGGGGCTGTGACCCTCACGGCGTCTGGGAGCTGGAAAACCCTGAGGGATGTTGTCTCTCTTCCCTCACGCCGTATCCCAAGGCAGGGCTGTGTCTGTTCCAGCCCTGGGGATGGAGCTTTTTGGGCTCCTGCCGTGTTCGAAGCGCCCTGAGCTGGGATGATGCCGTGCTGGGGGGCTGCATCCCAGTTCCCCCCCGGTCACGGTGAAGCCCCCGAGCAGTCCCAGGGCTTTCACCACCGCTCGGGGCCGTTTCTTTCATCAGGCTCTACCCTATTTCGACCGCCTCGACTACGTCTCCATGATGTGCAACGAACAGGCCTATTCCCTGGCTGTGGAGAAGCTGCTCAACATCCGCCCCCCGCTGCGGGCGCAGTGGATCCGAGGTGAGGGCGGCCCCCCGCCGATTCTGGGGGGGCTCCAGCTCCCGTCCCAGGGGGGCAGCCGCTCCTCCTGCCCTGCTGAGGGCTTCCTGGGGGCTCAGAGCCCCCTGCCTCCTTCCCAAGAGGGGGTGCTGGGGGTGCTCACCCCCTGTCCCCCCCCTCTGCTCTCAGTGCTCTTCGCGGAGATCACCCGGTTGCTCAACCACATCATGGCCGTGACCACGCATGCGCTGGACATCGGGGCCATGACCCCCTTCTTCTGGATGTTTGAGGAGAGGGAGAAGGTGAAGGGCAGCGGGGGGGGGGTTGGATTTGGGGCTCAGTGCTGTCCCTGGGGCCGTTCTGGGGTGCAGCGGGGTCTGCTCTGTCCCCACAGATGTTCGAGTTCTACGAGCGGGTCTCGGGGGCACGGATGCACGCTGCCTACATCCGCCCCGGTGGGGTGCACCAGGTGAGGGCCCCAGCTCCCCCAGAGCCCCCCTGGTCTCAGGGGGATGTGTGGGGTGTCCCTGGGTGGGCGCTGGCCCATGTTCAGGAGCTGATTTCCCTCCCCTCTGGTGCAGGACCTGCCCCTGGGGCTGATGGACGACATCTACGAGTTCGTGAAGAATTTTTCCATCCGGGTGGATGAGGTGGAGGAGGTGAGGGCAGGGGGATGACATGGGAGCCCCCAGACCCCTCCAAAACCTGGGGGAGAGGGACGGCCACCGGACTGACCCCAGTATAACGCCCTCCCACTCCCAGATGCTCACGAACAACCGCATCTGGAAGAACCGCACGGTCGATATCGGGGTGATAACGGCGGAGGAGGCTCTCAACTACGGGTTCAGGTGGGTCGGGGGGGACCCAGCCCCCTGCTGCTGCCCTACTGTGGTAGGGACCCCCAGATCGGAGCCGTCTGGTGACCGGTGACCCCCGTGGCCATCAGGGCGGTGCTGCCTGGTGGCCACAGCCGTGACGCCGTGTCCTGCCCGGCTTTTCCTGCTCCTTCTGTGGCCGCTGCTCAGGGCTGTGGGGTGTGCGCAGGTGGGGGGGGATGTGTGGCTGCTTCTGGGGTGCAGGGGGGCCCCCCATCGTGCTGCTCACCCCCCTCCCTCCTTCCCTCCCTCCCCCTGCCCAGCGGGGTGATGCTGCGGGGCTCGGGGATCCACTGGGACCTGCGCAAGACCCAGCCCTACGACGTCTACGACCAGGTGGAGTTCGACGTCCCCATCGGCTCCCGGGGCGACTGTTACGACAGGTTGGTGACACCCCAACCTGTGCCATCCTGGGGTGTGTGTGGGGGGGAAACCTCGGTGGGGGTCACACCTCCTCGGTGGGGCCGTGGCTGCCCCACAGGACCCCCCACCACCACCACCACCACGTGGGTCCTGAGCGGCGCGGGGGTCCCGCAGGTACCTGTGCCGGGTGGAGGAGATGCGGCAGTCGCTCCGGATCATCCTCCAGTGCCTCAACAAGATGCCCGAGGGGGAGATCAAAGTGGACGACGCCAAAGTCTCCCCTCCCAAGCGGGCGGAGATGAAGGTAAACACTCTTCCTCACCCTCCCCTGCCCCCCCGGCCGGCGGTGTGTCGGCAGGAAGCGTGGTTTGGTGCGTGGGGACGCTGGCGCCGAGGGTTTTCCAGGGCTCTCTGCCCCCACATCCCGCCCTGGCCACACGTGGGCAAGCAGCTTTGTGCCTGGGGGAGGTCACTGCCTGCTGGAGCCACTCCTGAGCCCCCCCCCGGGGTGTGGGGGGGATCTCCCTGCCCCAAAATCCGCCCTGGGGAAGGGGCTGTGGGGAGGAGCCCCCGCGGTGCCCTTGCTCCTCGCCCCACGTGGCCAGTGGCCGTGTGAATGTGGCCACCACCCCGGTTCCCACGCTGTGTCCCCTGTCACGGGGGTGGGCAGGGGACGGGCAGCCTGTCCTGCCCCCACGGGGCCACCCCCCAGCCCTGACGGTGGCCCCCCCCTCTCTCCGCAGACCTCCATGGAGTCCCTGATCCATCACTTCAAGCTCTACACAGAGGGCTACCAGGTGCCCCCCGGAGCCACCTACACGGCCGTGGAGGCCCCCAAGGTGCCACTTCTCAGGGCGTTACGGGGACCTGTGGCAGGGCGAAGGGTGTCCTGTGCCACCCCTGGGGACATTGTCACCGCCCGGGTGGGCTGTCCTTGTCCCCAGGACTCTGCTCTCACACCGAATGGGGGCTGGGGGCTGGATGCTGCGGACGGGAGACAGCCCCCCAGCCCTCCTAGCAGTGTCCCCGACCCTGTCCTCATGTCCCCAACCCTGTCCCTGTGTCCCCACAGGGTGAATTCGGTGTCTACCTGGTCTCGGACGGCAGTAGCCGGCCCTATCGCTGCAAGATCAAGGCTCCTGGATTTGCCCACCTGGTAGGAGAGACCGGGGTGGCCGGTGGCATCGCCGTCACCGAGCCAGGGCTGGTGGCCGGGGGGGGTTTGGGCTGGTGGGGGGGGCAAACAGAGCCTGGGATGAGCCATCTCTCCAGTGGGCTGGGTTGGGGGTCCGTGGGCCACCCCCTGGGGTCCTTCGTGACCCCCCCCCTGGGGTCCTTCGTGACCCCTTATCTCTCTTCTGATGCCTCTGCCCCAGCGCTGGTTTCCTCTCTCTGCTGATAACTGACCACTTCCCCCCGCTGCGGGGCAGCCCCCACCCCTCCTGGCCCCGTGGCCACCACGGCCCGGCTCCGGAAGCCGTGAGCTGGGTGTACAGCCCTGGGAGGATGAGCTGCTCCCCACGACACACCTTCGCCCCCTCGGCAGGCCTGGGGCTGGGGTGATGGGCTGTGGGAGGGCTCCGGAGTTTTGGGGGGCTGCGGGCTGACAGTTTTGGGGGGGTTCTTTGTGCTCTGCTTCAGGCCGGGCTGGACCGCATGGCGCAGGGCCACATGCTGGCAGACGTGGTGGCCATCATCGGTACGTTCCCTCCCCGGGCCCGGGGGGCTCCTGTGGCTGTTGGGGGGGCTCCTTCCCCATTCTGGGGAGGGGGGGGTGCTGATTGTGCCCTGACCCCTCTCTCTCTCTCCTCGCCCCCCAGGCACGCAGGACATCGTCTTCGGGGAAGTGGATCGGTGATGGGTCACTCCCCCCTCGGCTGCGTGTGCTGCTCCGGGCACGGGGAGCCCCCGCCCCGCGCCCCTTCCTCTTCTGAGTCAAATAAAGACAAAATCGGGTCCTGCCTGTCCTGTGCCTCTGTGTGTGTCCCCCCCAAGCCCTTCTTCCTCCCAGTGAAACCCCGCTCTTCCTCTCTTTCCCACCAGAGCTTCCCTTTCCTGCCGCCACGGCTCCATCCACGCGGGGCGGGGGGGGTGGGGGCTCCTGTGGCCCCCTCCCCGCCTGACCACAGCGTGGGGGGGACGGGTGACAC